TCAATTTGAGCTTCAGGAACTTCTCTGCAGCATGGAGCTCTGTGCTGTCTTCCAGTTTTATTTTTGGTTTGTTTCTGTATTCTCGCTACCTTGGTGCTTTTGCCTTGTGTTCTGGCAATATGGCAAAACAGAAGAATCTTTCAGAAAAATGTATAGGAATGGAAATTTTTTTTCAAAGTCATGTGCTCAGAGTTAGACATCTAAATTCATACAGCAGAAGACGAAACTATGAATTCTTGGTATCTTAAAGAGACATTTATCTCTTATCATTTATCTAATCTTATCTCACTTATCTCTTACCAGTCATCTGATCCAAGCCTATTTCTATATTAGTGCTTTCTATACAGCAGTGTCCCTTTTGCATTTAGGTTCTGTCACTTTCTGAATTCATTACTTGACATTAAATCACAGTTACTGAGAGTAACCTTTGAGCTCTTCAGAACTACATAATCTCACTATTCCTAAAGATTTTTGTCACCCTTCAGCATATACTTTGTGTGATTTCAATGAAGTGGGGTTCACACAGTCCCACAGGTCACTAAGGAAAATGGGTAGCACAGAACCTGGTGCCAGTTCCTCTGAGGTCCCAGTGAAAGTATTGCTCCCTAACTGGAAGCTGTACAGTTACTACTTCCTTACTTCATGATCCACCAGCCATTTTTTATGTCTGCTATGGTATTTTTACTAACGCAGTAGTTCTTCAGTCAGCAGCTGTGCAGTGATGGGTTTTTGTGCAGAGACAGGCATAGGGTTCCTTTCAACTAATATAGAAAACCCTTCAGCTGTAGCTAATTCATTTTTAGTTATTGACTTTTTTCCCTAATTGACCATTTGGAATTTTTTTTTTTAATACCTTATCAATAAATATCCTCCTTAATTTTTTCTGTAATTTTCTGGATCTGGAAACTACATGAATATATTAGTAATTTTGAATGGCTTTCTGGTGATATCTTAGAAAATTAATAGAATACCAGAATAAAAAAATCCCATTCTTTCTCCAATTCTGTTTTCAGCAGAGAAAGTCAGGCTAAGAGAAAATAGGAAGTTAGGAGCTACTTCGGGTAATTTGTCTCTTTAAGTTGTCAAAACCTCTCTTTGAAGAATGGCCCTAATAAAGAGGTGGTGCTCAAAAAGAGATTGTGCTCACATGATGTGCCAGTTTTGGCTGCGGTAGAATTAATTTTCTTCCATAGTAGCTAGTATGGGGCTATGTTTTGGATTCATGCTGGAAACAGTGTTGATAATTCAGGGATGTTTTAGTTACTTCTGAGCAGCACTTAAAAAGAGTCAAGACCTTTTCTGTTCCTCCTACCACCCCACCAGCAAGTAGGCTGGGGGTGCAGAAGAAGTTGGGAGGGGACACAGCTGGGACAGCTGACCCCAACTGACCAAAGGGATATTTCATACCATATGACGTCATGCTTAGCAATAAACTAGGGGGAAGGTGGGCTGGGGGGCCACTGCTCGGGCACTGGCTAGGCATTGGCTGGCTGCTGGTGAGCAATTGTTTTAATTTGCATAGCTTGTCTTTCTTGGGTTTTATTTCTCTCTCTTTGTTATTTTCGTTTTGTTATTATTATAATACTTTATTTCAATTATTAAACTGTTCTTATCTCAACCGCAAGTTTTCTCGTTCTTACCCTTCCAATTCTCTTCCCCCCATCCTGCTGAGGGGGGAGTGAGCGAGCAGCTGTGTGGTGCTTAGTTGCCATCTGGGGTTAAACCACAACTTATGAGCGCATAGTAGTTGAAAGACCAAATTTGCTACAGATGCCATGGAAAACAAGCATGTGTACTGCCAAGACACATCAATTCAGGTTCTTCTTAGTTGTACATATGTATGTATGTAGTCAGAACATTCTTCAGGAAGTTAAAAACATGTCAGAGTAGCACTCCTATGTCTTTTGCTACAATCTTATTATTGAAGGATTCTTCTCAAGCAATGTGGAGTCAGTTATCTCCTTCTGCATCCTTTGCATTCTTGTGCAGAACTAATTTCTCAGCTCACCTGTTGGGTTGATGCTGTACTCCCTACACATTGAATACTCTGCATAGAAATATTTGGTTGGTCTATTGGCATGAATTATTTCTTTGGTCATGTTGCAAGAATTGGCAATTTTATGAAGGCACCCTATTCAGCAAGATATTTAAGCACATTGAACTTTTGAGATGTGTTGAATCAGCATCTCAGTACTTACTTGATGTTGAGTATGGCCTATGAAGGAATAAAACAATTTAAATCATCTTATATTGAAAACATCTGGTGATATTCTAGTCAATTGTAGACTAGATGTCTCATATTGTCTAGTCCATGTAGTCTAATAAGCAGAAGTCTAATAATAGTCTAGACTATGGTTATTTACTCTCTTGAGGCAGAACACAAATTGCCTAGTGACATTGGTCCAAAAAAAAAAAGCCTGTATCTGTACAGGTACAGGTACTATAAGCAGAGATTCTTCCTTTTTAGTCTAAATCATACTCAGTACATGGACACAGCTTTTCTTCTTCAGAAGGAGGTTTGATGTGACATAAAAATGACATAGGTTTAAATGCAGCACTTAAAATGAGTGATTTGCATTGTAGTGATTGTGACAGCAATGCTTTTAATATTATGCCCTCATGCTGCTAGCCTCTTGGATCTGAGGGATTTTCTAATGCAAACCATAATGTAAAATTCATTAGCTACCGGTAGCCAGGGTTTTGAATCTGCTTGAGACAATGAATTAATTTTCATTTCTGAAAATATTAATAAAATATTGTCTTATGATAATCCTATATATTATAATGGCTTTTAGATGGCAGTATCATAAATCTAACGAATTTAAAGCTTACAAGTGGGTATGAATTAACATATTCTAGTATAAAGGAATTAAGGTGCCCAGATGACTTTTTAAATCCTTGAGTGACATGTGCTGGGCATGCTTACAAAAACTGAAATGAGTACACATATGCTTGTGTATCTGTCTGTATTTGTAGTTATGCACATAGCTAAATTTCAGAGTGTTCTTTAAAACTTCAGCTGGAACTGTACGTGTCTCAGTGTGCATCCATGCAGATCTGTATGGCGCTCTGGTATCACGAAGAAATGACTACAGTGCAACTACATTTACTTCTCTGCATTTATAATTGCCTAGGAAACACTGTGTAGGAAGCTTTAGTTTCACACTGACAGATTTAGACTAATCTATTGCTATCGCATGCAGTGCATAAAAGCACGAAAAATAAAGTAATTAAAGCTTCTATTCACCCAATTTAGTTGTCAAAATGCATCTGTGAGTTAGATTAAAAGAAGAGGACTTTCAGAAGAACAATAAGATACTAATTATACTAAAGGACAGACTGAAAAGTTTCGCCTTCTCTGTGGACAAGCAAGATTAATTAAAATGATGAATTTTAAGGCATTGGTCTTAAGCCTCAGGATAACGGGGTGAATGCTACAAGATTTTCTTTGTAATTTCCAGCAGTTAATTTTGGGTGTTTCTATATCGAAAGTCTGTGCTGTGACCAGGAAGTCAGATCCAACCTGAACATGAATGGAGGAATGCTATCGACTGTTTTTTTTCTCAGACCAGAACTCACCGTGTTAGCTTTTCAAGTCTGATTTGAAATAGCCCTGGGACTGAATCAAAAATCAGGATTTTCATTTGCTGAATGAGAGAATACAAGCAAGGAGAAAAATGGATGTTGCTTAGCTGTGTGCCTGTCCAGCACAGTTGGAGCTATGTCATACTGCAACCTTTCTTCTCTTTGGTTTACCCAACTGACTCATAGCACAAGTAACATGGATCCTCGCTTCTGCGCTGTAATGCTGTGCTGTCTTGCTTTGTAGACCCTAATGGGGACCTGCTCGGGATGCAGGGGGACAGTTTACTAAGATTACCTCTTAACTAAACTACTTCTTGGGAAATGGGGTGACCAATGTTTGGTTTTGGCAAAGGGCTATAAATTGCAATTATTAACTGGGTACTTAAGGGGAATCAACTGCTTAAGCTTCTCCTTACCAAAGTTTGGGAGTACTTGGGTGCCCATCTTTATGTGTACATGCCACAGGCACAGATCTAACAGGACAGGGAGCTACAAACTTGTCCTCCCTCTCCTTTTAGTTTCTCTGTCCCTTAGGGCTGGACCTACCTGAATTCCCACTGCAGTGCAGTGTGACAGAGCATTTTCAGCAGCTCAGCCCCAGGTGCCAGGGGAGCTGGGAAGACAAGTGATGCTCAGCCCCTGGCAACAGTAAAAAATGGCCAACACACCGTGTTGCAGTGCTGCCCTTTGTCTCATGATCCTTCTATTTTTCAGTGTTGCATTTACCAACATAAATCAGTTTGAGCCAGTTCAAATCAGTTCCAATTTTTTCACCTTTTCTACCAAATCATTATTGGACTGACCTAAAAGTGAATCGGATCTGTTTCAGTCACAGCAATAGCTAGATACCAATTGCAGTAAATATGTAATGATTTGACTTCTTGCCTGTGACTGTGGCTATCTATGTGTGGTGGAAACCTGGCTTGGTACAAGAAGCTGAATACATACTCAGGTGGCTGACAAGTCATCCACAATGATGCTTTTAAAGAGTGTCAAAGCTAGCTCAGGTAATGTCTGTGGAAGTCAAAGTCACAATATTGACTGCAGTTGAACACACTCTCAGGATTTGCAAAGGAGCCTAAAGCAGTAAGTGTCCAAACTGCTTCAAAGAGCAGTTGGTGCAGCTGTATGTTAACTCCTCTGTGTTTTGAGAGTCTCTTTTTATGGGGTCTCTAGGCATTAGTATGAAACTTCTGCTGTTAGTATTTGTACTATCATTACATAAGAGTGAAGTCTTAGGAGACAGCTAGTTTGCCCTTTACAATAAGTGCTTAATGAAAATAACATATACCAAAGAACATCAGATAGCAAAAATAATAGCTGATGTACTTTTCACTTTAGTCCTCTTGCTTTCAATTATTTAGTTTTGCTATGGGTTGAGTTTATGTAACACCTTAATTTTGTATTTTTTGCAGAAATGTAACCTGGAATAATTTAGCTATCCCAGACACCCACTGTTCCAGAGAGCTAGAAGAAGGTTACCAGTGCCCACCTGGATTTAAATGCATGGACCTTGAAGATCTGGGACTAAGCAGGCAAGAGCTGGGCTACAGTGGCTTTAATGAGATAGGTCTGTCCTACTGGTAACATCCATTTCAGTATCCATTTTAAAATGTTTATGAAATGAATAGAACAGATAGCTTATATCTGTGCTGAAAAGGTATCAAGTGCAATCAGTATTCTGCTCAAGTAGAGCACATGCCAGAAAGAGAAGCTGTGCTATTTGCTTTGTAATGATGAAGTTATCTATTTTTATATTGCCTGGGATCCCAGGATTTAAATAACTTTTAAATAATGTCTTTATTTAAGAAGAGTCCACTGTTGATTATCACCAGTATGCAAATGTGATGACTAATTTCTCTGTTTTATTTATGATTCATTTTAGAGTATATAATTCATCCTATTTGTCTAATTTTAGCAGTAATTCCCATGCAAAAAACCCCACCCAGAATTACTTTGATAATCGTCTTGGTACTAAAGAGAAGAGGGGAGAGAAAATGAGATCATGTGTATCTGTGGCAATCTCAATCCAAACTGTGTAAGTCAGAACATCACCCAGAAAAATGATTGGGAGTCAGGCAGATTTTGCAGTACAGGTACAATTTGTGTTCTGTGAAAAACACTGCAGAGTTACCAGAATACGTTCTCTGCTAGCTGCAATGTGTCATGCCATCCCCATGAGGAAATGAGTGCAGAGCAATAATTCAGGGAAGGTGGCAAGAGCATGGGCAACTGTCGCAAGATCCATATCCAAATAGAAAATATGCAGTTACCCTGTCAGAACATTGTGGTTATCTCACATTTATTTAACAAAGGTCCAACAGGAGCCTGCAACTGTAAATTTTCATTTCAGCACAGGTAGGGAAGTCCCTTCAAATGATAAAGCATGCCTGCAGGCCATATTCTTTCTGATGCATCACTCTGATAAGCTTTTATTTTCATTTTTCCTGGCTTAAGCTCCAGACTGTTATCCTGGCCCCAGCTGAACTTGAAAGTAATAAAAAGGTTTAATGACTGAATAACTACAGGTTTTTTGCATATTAAAAGCCTTTGCAGGTGAAATCACTTCAGCTGGTTCCCAAGATGCTGAATATACACAATGAGCCAGAGTTACAAGAAATAGTCTCAGAGTCCTGTTAAAACAAGTACTCTGTGATACCAAATACTTTCTGAACAAAACCTGCCATTTGTGTCCTTTCTTTTTTATTGTGAGAAAGGGAGAAAAAACTGCTTTCAACCAAGCTCCATTCTGTTTCCTCTGGGAGTCAGAAGCATACTAGTTGTACCAGTACTGCTAGCTGAATAGTGCTACTGATAGTACCTATCTTTTATATAAATTTTTTCTTCAGTAGATCTCAAAGGATTACCCTGTCTGATCTCTCAGATAACCTTCAGATTCCTAAGTTAGTCGCATACTGCCATGTATCTATATACTGCCATCATGAGCTGAGTTCACCCTAGAAACTAAAAACATCCACACACAAGTTCTCTAGTTTGAGATGGTTTGGCAAAGGAGTGTGGGATAGGTGTATCACCAGAAGAATTATGCCTTAATTGATTGAAAGGGTTTGAATTTGATTAAGGGATTGAAATCACCCTTCTTATCTTGACATGCAAAATTATTTGTGGCATTGAAGGCTGTTATTTTAGCTGCCTACCTGGTCACCAGGGAAAAGTAGTTGCAATGCCTTAGGCAAGCTTAAGTGGGTAGATGATTGGAATGAGGCTCAGAGTGCTTACCGGAGGAGGCCATTATGTTTTTAATGATGGGGGCAGGTTGTCAAAGACACGGGAAATAGTTTGTACAAGCATGGCTGCAAAGCTGGTTGAAAAACCAGGGCTCAAACTCTGGTCTCCTGAGTTGCAGTCCTATACTTTATCAATATGTCATTCTGATTGCTGCATTTTAAAGACCAAAGATTGCTAATAGACTTAGGAGATTTGTCATTGATATATTGTTTTTATCTAGAAATAGGTAACCAGGATATAACACCTCTCAGTACAGCAGCCAGAAGTTAAGTTGAATCTCAATTGAAAGCTGATTACTAAACTTTAAAATACTGGGTAAGACATAGCAGCTTTGCCACAAAATGTTAAATAAGCTTCTTCATATTAGGAATGTTATAAACAGGGTTATAACCAGCAAGTTTATTAATATTTTGTAAATCTCCATTTTGTGATGCACCTTTGTATGCAGATAACAGGTAAGTAATGCAGTAGATCTTTTCTGTGTAATTACACTATTTTATTCTATACAGTCATTTGTATTTTACTTGCAGATATTATGATGCAGCCTGTCCTGTTGGTTCCTGAAGTCTATCATTACAAAGATCATAAAAGTGTAACACTTTGGCAGCGATTGTATAATTAGTACCACTTAATTTGTGGTATATAAGTACAATCTATGCATACTTGAATTTGATAATTCCTGTTATTTTTCTTCTCTCTAAAGAAAAAGGGAGGGTTTTCTACAATTTTATTACTGGGTGAAGACCAAACTGTCCTAGTCAGAGAAAAGTTAATAGAGTTTTTTATACTGTGAGGGCTATGCTGAGTAGGTAGTTTCATATTTGGAAAATCCCTTCATTTTGGCCATACTCTACTCCCACTTTTATAAATGGCTTGGATTTAAAGGGATGAAAACTGGAAAGATTATAGTGTAAGTTTTGGTACCGGACAATGTATTTGTTTCCCAAGTTTTCTGGTTTTAGTTTTGAGGTGTTCTGTTCATCTGTTTTATGTATGCTTCTATGCAAGTATGTATGTTTTCTTTAAGGAATAACATGCTTTAGGCTACTGATAAATATGGGTTGAAGTCATCTTGTCAAGATAACGTAGGCCATCCCCTTCCGACATGAAGCAGACTTCACAGTCTTTCCAGGCAATCTATTGCACTGCTTCACCGTCTGTACTCTAAGGAAGATTTTCCGAAAGTATATCCTGAATATTTCTTTTTTGCAATTTAAAGTCATAATTTCTCACCTTATTCAGTATTGACATAGAGAAAACTTTAAAAAAGCTTTTCTGCATCTTTCAAGGCTATCATTATGCCTCTTCTACCCTCTATGGCCATGCTCAGCCATATAGCTCCAAATGTTTCAGTCTTTTGCTATAGGACTTATATTTTATACCTTCAATTATTCTTACTGTCCTTCTCTAGACTTTCTCCATCCGATTCACCTCTTTGTTGAAATGCAGTACTGTCAGAATACCCCAGTAGAGCCATTACTTTATGTGTTTTTAAGCTTTATTACAGTTTCTACATCCCAGTGAGCTGTTTTCCATTTTCAGAACAGCACGTTGTGGGTGATTCATGTTTTTCTGATTTGTTACAGCTCTTGTGTCCTTTTGAAAGAGCTGCTGTCACTTGTTTTCTATCCTTTATTTGTTTACTTGATTATTTCTTTTTAAATGAAGACCCTTGCATTTGTCTCTGTTGAATAGCATACTTCCTTTTTTTCTCAGACTATTTCTTCCATTTGCAAAGATCTTCTGGAATTTTAATTCTTTCCTCCTGAATACTTTCAGTGCCTCTTAGCTTTTATCTGAAATTTGATGAGTATAATTTATTTTCTGTCAACGTGGTCAAGAGTGAAAAAATATATAGAACCAGACCAAGATCAGACTCGGAACCTCATTTGACAGTCTTCATTTCTGACAGTGTTTCATTACTAGCTGCTCATAAGGACACTTAACAAATGGTTTTGCATCTATCGAAGAGTAGTTTCACCTAGCCATATTTCTGTATGTTGTCATGGTGAGACGATGTTAAAAGCCTCTTAAAATCAAGATGCAGACCATCAAGTCATCCTCCTCTCTTTACAAAACTTGCTTCCATTCTGCATTTGTACAGCAATAATACAGTAAGATTTGTGTCATAGATTCTCCGGTGCCTACACCCTTCCAATATGTATTAATAATATAATACTTATACCTGGTGTTTGTAAAGCTCATTTTTCAAAGTGGGCCACATCAGCATATAGCTACAGCTAATGCCTCTGTTCTTCACGTACATATTTCCAGATTGGATACAGAATGAAATTAACATCAATCGGTTTTGCCAACTTTACCAATGTAATCTCTAATGAGAGTGAAATTAATAAAAGCCAGAGCAGCTCTGTCTGGAAACACTGAGCAGAAAACCGGTTAGCTATGGCCTCAGTACCCGAAATCCCTTTCTCTGTGAAGTTCTGAAATGGGAGGAAGGACTAGTAGAGAAAGAATAATCTGCTCCCCTAGGCGAGGTGACTTCAGATATTTCAGGATCCAGCTGATGGGAGGCTACAAGAAGTTACTGCTTTCTTCTAGTAAGTTGCTCATGAACTCATTAGAAACCCGAGTACTCTTTCCAACAGTTTGACACAGAAAAGTTGACTTCTTAAGTAGGTGTTGTTCATATAAGTTGACTTCTTAAGTAGGTGTTGTTCATATACAGTGGGAGCCTTCATATTAAATGAAGTCTTTTATCCATCAGGATGTTTGAAAGATTTTTTGAATACTATCTGCAGGGCTGAGTGGGAATAAGAGAAAGGATATGAATGAAAGGCTTGTGCGGTTGTGTGGATGTGGGTGGCAAAGTTCCTTACCATTGACTATACCTGTATGGTACTGTCAAGCTCTTCTCTTTCTCAAACTTCTTAACTGATTTTGATTCAGGCTCCTATAAAAAGGTTGATGTTTCCTTCATATTGGAACAGCCTTCAACCTTGTCTCCCAGTGAAGGCTTCAGGTACATTACAGTTGGCCTCTTTCTTTTTTCTGATTTTATTCTCTTCTCTGTGTTTTTTCTAGCTGTGTTTAATTCTGCAGGGTGTAGCTGAGAGCATGCCAGTATCACGAAATGTGCAAAGAATGTTGAGCTATATATTGAGAAAAATGACCTTTTTTTTGTGAATAAACCCCAGTAATTGTACAGCCTATTAGGCATGTGATTGTATTTGCATAAGTATTTTCATCTGCTATGTCTAAAAACCATAAATATAATAAATTAATTAGATAGGAGCATGCAAGACTTGGCCATTGGAAAACCATGACAAGTACTTCTGCTTTCCATGTCACTCTGAGTGTGCA